CCCCCCCGATCCCACGGGGGCAGGGGGAGAGTGAGCGAGCGGCTGTGTGGTGCTCAGTCGCCGACTGGGGTTAAACCACAACAGTCCTTTTTAAATTAATGCAGTAATGCTTTCCTTCTGTAGGTAACCTCACAATAACAATTGGCACCTTTGTGTTGCAGGCCTTTGGACTGCCATTTGCATAGAAGGCAAAAGGCTGGACAGAGCAGCAATCTATCAGCAGAGATTGAGTATTTTAATGTTAAAACAAACCAGATTCCCATTTCCACCAATATGTGACCCTTTCTGTTGCACTCTGCATCTGAAATACTCCAGAAAGTGAGACAAGGTCTTTCCAAACTCCAAGTCCTATTTTTTGATACTCGGGAGGAGAGTTACCTTACACTAATGTCCCTTTTCAGTGAAACAAGGTATTCTGTGTACAAGTACTGAGGGGACAAGTGTCTCCGATTTCCTTCTCAAACTCAGAAAACACTGAATTTTTGCTAACAATATATTCTTTAATTTCAAGGTGCATTCCCCTCTTTCAGAGAAAAAATACTGTAACCAGGAATCAACATAGGTGCTGATGAATTATGCCTTTTTTTTTTAATGTTATTTAGCATATAGAATTTATGTGCTTTGGATAATAACAACTCTCACACAAAGGTACTTTGTGTACCTGTGAAAACCTGTATGTACAAATAGCATAGTTTCTACAGTACTGGGGCATGGGGTATCTTCTTTACTGCAGCTAAATTAACCCATTATCTTGTTTGTAGATTAGTAGTCATTTCTTGGCATGAAATTTAGTAGTTAACTATGTGTAACTTTCAATTGGTCAACCACTGGATTTTAAGAATGAATAATGAAATCCTCAAATCTGTTGAAATACATGAAAACTGCCTTTAAAAAGAATGAGAGAGAGACTCCTTACTTGTGATCCGTTAGTTTGGTTGATAACAGCATTGTTTGCAGTACTGAAAGACAAAAAGAATTTAAATCAGAATCAGATAAAAAACCTATTTTTGCAGGCTGGCAGAACTGCAAGGATTTTCAGAAAGAAACAAAAAGTCTAACAAAGATCTTTCCAAAGTACTTAACTGTTCTCAAAAGAACACTTAAAAACTTATGGTTTAGGTCAGCTGCCTCATTCTAGGTAACTAAGGGTATCATATTATTTTTCATTTGTTCAAACTGTAGTTTATCTGTAATTCATCTGGTTTTTCCTCTTCTTTTCCTAAACCAGTTTGGTTTAGAAAGTCTTCCTGATTCAGCAGTAAGGCAGGGCACTTTTAAAACAAAAATGATATCATTTTAGTTAAACACCCAGCAAAATGTGACATTGTTGAAACCTCACCTACGTGCTGTAGATACTATGTTTGTTCCATAGCTAGGACTCTTCTGATTTGAAGTTTCACATCACAAAGTTTATCAGAAAAATTAATGAGTTTCATCTGCATACAACCTCTAATGGACCGAATTACTGCTTCAGAGTCTTAAAAGCAGCCATTCAAAATTATGCGCACAGCAGCTCAGTACAGCATTATTAATAATTGTATATTGATAAGTTTATATTACTAAATATTTATATTAGTATATTTATATTAGTAAATATTTAATATTTTTAATAAATTAAATAATACTCATATCCTTATTCCTGATGATTTCTGAATCTGCAAGAGACATTTCACATTTTCACATTTTTGAGAGACTTAAAAGCATTGACACCCTGCACAATAATTATTCATTATAAATCTCATGCAAAGCAAACTTTTTTCCCAGACTTCTAATTATTTAAAAAATGGTTCCAGTCTCCTACAACCCATTAATCTTTTGATTTATGGTCTGGACAATAGCTATCCAACCTGGCAAGCTGACAATTCAAATAAATTTCTGTATCTACTTCAGTGATTCTTTAGAATTATTTTACTGAAATACCATAATGTCAAGACCAAACAAGCTGTTCGTTGCCTGTTTCCCAACTTTGCACCTTCTCTATCGAGAGAATGTGGAGGTTACCACAGAATAGTGCACATTTAACAGAAATATTAAGGAATGCCTTCTGGGTAGCACATTCCCCTGTGCTGAGTTAACACAAAAGAACAGAACAACATACATCTTTCATGATGCATTTCAATTAGCAACGCTCGAGTGTAGAGTTTCAGAAATGGCATAGATTGTTCTGGAGACTAACGTAACAGTGCCACACCTAGGTGCAGCTCAGAAGACCGCCGTCTTATCAGAAGGAAAAACTGCATATGAAGTTTCTCTTCCCACTCTCAGAATGACCTAAGCAGCATGAAACTCGGAGAAGGGCATGACAACACAGCATGACGAGAGTACTAATTAATCAGTCACATTTGGTATGCAGAGGATCTTTAAGCGCTTTAATGACACCCAGTTTTGAAGAGTACTTTCCCATTTTATAAAAAGAAACGACGAGAGCACTACAAGAAGGACATTGAGGTGCTGGAGCGTGTCCAGAGAAGGGCAACGAGGCTGGTGAAGGGTCTGGAGAACAAGTCTTATGAGGAGCGGCTGAGGGAACTGGGACTGTTTAGCCTGGAGAAAAGGAGGCTGAGGGGAGACCTCATCGCTCTCTACAACTACCTGAAAGGAGGTTGTAGTGAGGTGGGTGTCGGTCTCTTCTCCCAAGTAACTAGCGATAGGACAAGAGGAAATGGCCTCAAGTTGCGCCAGGGGAGGTTTAGATTGGACGTGAGGAAAAAATTCTTTACTGAAAGAGTGGTTAAACATTGGAACAGGCTGCCCAGGGAAGTGGTTGAGTCACCATCCCTGGAGGTATTTAAAAGACAAGTAGATGAGGCACTTAGGGACATGGTTTAGAGGGTGGTGGTGTTGGGTCGACGGTTGGACTTGATGATCTTAGAGGTCTTTTCCAACCTCAATGATTCTATGACAATACAGAAGGTCACAAAGACAGAGAGACCTCCACTACAGTAACTGCAGCCTTATCCCCACACACTTCCTAGACTTCTCCCCCTCTCATGCAAGAATCGACCCTGCTGCTACAAACAGAAAACATATGGCTGTATTAAGCCTGTTGTTCTGAAATGTTATTTCGACATTCCTTACCCAGCTCCTGACTGTCACGATGCTTAACATCCATGAGTACCTACTTTTTAAAAATAATTTGGTTGCAATTGATCACTGCAAGGTTCGCAAGTTATTAGGGCAAAGGACAGAAACAGAACTGAGTAACTTAGCTCCTTCACTACCAGGTAATTCTTTTTAGCTTGGTTTCCTCTCGTCCCTTAAGGAAGGGTATGAAAATTGTATGATTCAGGATTCATATGAGTATTTTACATTGCAACAGCAAGTATGAACCTACACATGCAGAAAGAATCTAGGTATAGAAATAAAGAACCAAAAGGCCTCCCTCTCAATGTTGATCATGAATAATTTAGTATAAATATATAAAAATAAATACTTAAGTATATAAAAATAAATGCAAGTACAGTACAGAATGTAAAATCATCAACATATTTCAAGTATTTATTTTACTGTCTTTTCCCTGTCTCTGACCTTCACTTATTTGTTGATTATTTCAGAAAGAAGACATCCTCACATGCTTCTACCTGATCTCTTTACATGGCAGCACACAGAACTACAGCTCATATCCAGCAAGAATCATAGCTAGTCGTAAACAAACCTCTTTGCCTGCTAGTAAGCAAGTCTGGCAATATCTTTTATGTGACAGCAACACAGGAGTTTTGCTTTGAACAGTAGGTTTTATGTAAAGCAAACGCACACAAAACCCACAGCAAAACCACAGTTAAGAGGTTAACACTCTCTGCATTTAACTAATCTTATAACCTCCTTCTGCAGACACATGCCCAAGTACAGGCGGCAAACATGAAAGAGAAATTTAAATATTGGAATGCATCTTACCTTGTTTCTTCAAGTTTAGCAGCATGTGCTGCAAAAATATAAAGTGTTAATTAAAATTTAATTAAATTTAAAATTTAATTTGTAATTAGGTTATCAGTTAAATATTAAGCATATTATTAATAAAAATAGTCTAGCACTGCCTAAAAGTAGGCAACTAAAAGAGCAGAAGTTGCGTGTATCCCACGTATAATGCGTGAAAAACAAAATTCTAAACTGGAAAAATTAAATAAAAAAATCTGAAGAGCAAACCAAAGAGTTGGATTTAAGCAAGTATCTGAAAGCATGCATGGAGGTCACGCTTGACATGCAAGAGTGGGAACAAGCGACAAGGTATCACATGCTGTCAGGTTGTGACAACAGAGTGCAACTCCTACGAACAATGAAAAAATCTCAATGACAAATATTTCAAACTTGATTCATAAATTTCAAATATTATCATTAATATATCACTGTTTCCTGGACCCAAGTTTTCCATCTTCATACAGAGACCTATTGTGCAATATTCATGTGTGTTTTACCTGCTAGGCAAGCTAGAATGACATGCTTTGGACACAAGCTTTTTCCGATAAATACATGTGGTCTCCCAAATAAGTCAAAGAAAACCTAATTTTGAAAATTCAAGAGAAGGGCAAACAGCTACAGAAGAATTCCTACACAGAGCCTTTAAAGGATATGATTACTTGATTCTCAGATTATACTTCTCAGACTGGAAGGTCTTTTACCTTTCATTTGCAGTGTTCGTCTTGAATATCTCTTGCTGGGCCTTCTTTCAAAGGATGCTGATCTTCTGGCTTTGTTGGTCTTGGTGGTTTGATATTCTGTTTTCCCACTAACAATGCCATGTAAAAGTACAAAACAATAAAATAAATCACTTATTTTTAATGACAGAATATAGACACTGCTCATCAAAACATCACATTTCTATTTTAAATTCATAGCTTAATGATCTGATCTCAGTTCTATTAAAAAATCCCAAACTTAACACCTCAGAAGGCCTTTCACAAAAAAGGGAAGTTTTACAAACATCCTGATCTTCACCCCATTTTCCCAAGACAAAAGTCTGAAGCAATGACTCCTTGAACATTAAGTTGCTGAAAAAGCACATTTGTCCTTTGCATATTTCTGTGGTCACAGTGCACGCAGTTTGGGAAAGGTTGAAAATTCTAGGAGAGAATATAGCTTAAGGTATGTTGCCAAAGGTCACAGAGAAAGATGATAATAGGACTAAAACCCAGCATCTAGATGCTCTTGCTCCCAAGGCAAGTCTTTTTTTCCCCAAGTTTGGCCAGACCCTGCCCCCAAGGCAGTAGCAGCCTCATGTTTTGCTGAATCCTTGGTACCACCAATCCTTTCTGAAGCAGATTAGATGGTATTGCTACAGTTGCTGGAAATGGAAGCAAAGTACATGCATACTGCCTGGGGTCACGCCCCACCCCCTTCCATATGTTCTCACCAACTCTGGTGGGACAACTGACAGCATCCTGCAGACTAATCTAGAACCACAAGCCGTTCGAAGTCTGTTACAGCACCGGTAGTGCCTAACATGCAACGGGCATTATCTTAGGCTTCTGAAGCACTACCATCACTCAAACAGTCAGGAACTCAGGAGTCAAAAGACTTTCAATGCCCCGAACTGTGCAAGTCAATCATCCATCCTCTATTGTTCATTTAAAAAAGGGTGGGCTTTCAAGAGGAAGTGATCTATAAAACACAATGTACTATATATGCTATGTAAGGAACATAAACATTGAGAAACCTTTGGTTTCCTACTGCACAAACCAGAATCACCTAAAGATAAATCAGAAAATGCAGGGGGAAAATACATTTGATTTAATAAAACCAATAATGCAACTCACTCAGCTTGCAAGTTTCACTGCTCTATATGTCCTAGGTGAATGAATACCAAGTTCTCTCCCGTTTCTACGCATAATCCAAGAAAAGCAAGAAATGACAGAAGATATGTGCTAAATGATAGACGACACTGACCTGTATCGGAACCGGGATCCTAACCGAATGAAGCCTGATCGACTTGAGCTTTTTTGGACAGGACCTCGGAGCCGGAAGAAGGCGTGATGTTCTACCGCACATTTCCACAAGTGTTTGCAGGCTTTGGGATGATCCAGTCTAAAGACAAAAGTGTGCTCCTGCTCCTTTCCCTTAAAGCACACAAAGCACACTGACGATTTACAAGGGGCTTGAGTAAGTCAAAGCTACAATTCAATGCAAGCCAAGCAAAATTTGGTTTTTTACGAATACTGAAATGTGTGTTTAAAAAAATATTTTAGGCAGAAAAAGCAACCTTTTCAGAAGCTTTAATGAACAACTCCTCCATTGTCTGAAGTTGGAAAGGGCTAGAGCCCATATATTTAACAAGCCAAACCTCTGAATAACTACAAATTAAAGACATCGTTATAATAGGAAGGTACTTCTCAGTGAGGCTAACATGGTCTCACTTCCAAATCTGATCTCAAATTACCAATGCTCACATTTTTATTATCTCAGTTCTGAGCAATTTCTTCCCATAGGAACAATTCTGGCACCTGCTTAAGGAATTCATTCCACTAAATGTGGTACATGGCCTTTTTTTACACTTTAGAATCATAGAATCGTTAAGGTTGGAAGAGACCTCTAAGATCATCGAGTCCAACCGTCAACCCAACACCACCACCCACTAAACCATG